CCAGCCACTCAGCCAGGCCCAGCCAAGTTGACCCACAAACATAACCACCACAAGCAGCCAGAACCTCAGGAAAGCTGGAAACAGTATTTAGCGAGGGATTCCGCTCACACCTCCCCAGAAGTCAACTGCCATCTTATCCTTGGTCCCAGAAGACAGATTTTTTTTTTTTTAATTTTTTATTTTATTGTGATTTAGGTGAAAGTTTATGGAGAAGATCAGTTTGCCATTCAACAATTCATACACCTTTTTTTGTTGTTTTTTCACGTCGTCGATTGCAATCCCCTCGGAGAATAACATCACTCATTCAGTTTCCTCTCTGTTTCTCATTTCCATTCCTCCTCCTTTCCTTATCTGTCCTGCCATCTGAATTTTCCCTTGGGCAAATGCTGCCTTTTTGATCACTGATGGTTTATTGTTCTAAGGAGTGCATACTCCTTAATGTTACTGTTCACCTTGCAGACCTCTGTCTATTGTTTGGCTGAAAATTGAGCCACAAGGGTGAGTTCAGTTCCAGGTCCAAAAAATGACTAAGGGCCACAGTCTCAGTGGTTCCACAGTCTCTATTTAACTGGTAAGCCTGCTCTTTTTTATGATTTTGAATTTTGTTCTATGTTTTTCTTTCACTGTATTCAGGAACTTTAATTTTTTTTTTTCAATTGTGATTTAGGTGAAAGTTTGCAGTGTGAATTTGTTTTCCATTCAACAGTTCCTCACATTTTGTTTCGTGACATTGATTGCAATCCCTACAGTGTAAAATCTCTCTTCCCACTTCCTCCCGGTGGTTAGCTCTTCCCTGAGTCCTTCTTTCCTATGCATTGCTGCCCTCTGAGCGTTCTCCCTGTACCAATACTGCCCTTTTCATCTCCCATGGTTGATTGTTCTAAGGGGTGTACCTACCTGGTGTAATTATTCACTTCATAGGTCTGTCTCTTGTTTGGCTAGAAGTCAACATGGGAATGTGTTCAGGAACTTCGAGTCGGATCCCTTTAGCAGTTGGTAGTAGTAGCCCAGCACCATCCAATTCTTCTGGTCTCGGAGTCAATGGAGGTTGGGGTTCACTTGGTCTGTTAGTCCTTTGAACTAATCAGTTCTGTCTGTCTTTGATTTTCCTTCACTCCTTTTTGCTTCAGAAGGGGAGAGACCAATAACTGCACCTTTGATGGCTGCTCACTGTCTTGGAAGACCCCAGGTGTGACTCGCCAAAGTAGGATGCAGAACGTTTTCTTTGTGGACTATCTTGTGCCACATTTCTTTGATGTTCCCTGAGACTACAGTCCTGAGCCCCCAGGCCCAGCAGCTCATTCCCTCAGGGTGATTGGTTATGGCTAAGACAGTTTCATGACTTTGCCCCCTGTATGCTCTCCTGTATTCATGGACGTATTTGCAACACATGTAAATACATATGTAGAAATATCTTCTGTCAAACCTATGTATAGTCATGAGTATAGTCCCATTCTCCTGCCCACACCTGTTCAGCTTGCCTGTCTGTGCATCCATTCATAGCTTATTGTTACTGTTATTGCAGGATTGTCTGTAATAGTATATATCTCTGTTGCCTTCAACTCTTATACTCCTCCCAGTGTCCAAAAGACAACTTCTGCTTAATACTTTTTTCTCTTTCCATCTGACCCAATGCTTTGCTTGTCTGGCTCTGGCTTTGTCCCTCTTTGTTTGTTTGCTTAGGCCCCTTCTTTCTCTGAAGTTCTCCATTGCTCTTTGCCTCTTTTCTCATAAGAGTATGCAGTGTGTGCATTAAGTCATAAATGCAGAAAACAATAATCCAAAATTTAACTTGATTGACTTAAATATAAACTAACTTGAAGAAGAAATAGAACATGTTCTAGGACAAAAGAGTGATGCTAAACTTGCTTGTAAATATAGAAACCCCTCAGCCTCTGGTGATTCAACACTGTTGTTGCCTCTGTGCAAATGAAGCTCAGGTCCAGGTTTGACAACAGAACCAACTTGACTGCTGTTAAGTGGCCACAGGGGTGCTGTTCTGGTTACCTGATGCCGCTCTAACAAGAATATACCACAAATGGGATGGCTTAACAAATAGGAGTTTATTCTTAACGATCTGGAGACTTTAAGTCCAAGTTCAAAGTGCCAAGCTCTAGGAGCTGGGTAAAAGCCCCTCAACCTTGGGCTTCAGCTCTGCCTCCTGCTCTCGTCCCACTGAAGCTGGAGGCTTTTCTTCACTCAGACGGCTGCTGACTGCTGAGGCTGCCCAGCCCAAGGTTGACAAGTAAAAAGGCACAGTCCCAGTGTTACCAAACCACACGGCCAGCCATCAATTCAAGTCCATTTTAAGTCCCAAGCTCAGCTAAACAATGGCACAGCTACATGCAAGGTATAAGGTGCCATAAGCAAGAGACCATTCCCCAAGGCTTCTGCTTATATACAGGAAGCAGATCACATTCCCTAAGGCAGCTACTCAGCTGCTCACAGTAGATTCCACCATGGAGTTGATTACCAGTCTCATCATGGGGAATACTACATCCAGCTCCCCAGTCACTCAACCAGGCCCAGCCAAGTTGACACACAAACTGAACTACCACAGGTGCTAAGACAGGAAGAGGGGCTTCTGTCTCTCAAACTGACAGTGTCAGCCTTCACATGATCATGGGCTTGACTCTCATCACATACCAGTGAAGGCCACCAAAGCCCAGGAAATAAGTATCTTAGTCCCATAGTCTAGCAGCAGACAGCCAGCACGGGCTTCCACTGCGCTTGTCTATACAGACAGGATACTTGCTCAGGATTACTTGGGCTTTGTTGGTCAGTGGGGCATGTGCCCTGGTTTAATCACAGGGGTTAGAGGACAAAGACATGGAAAACAGTAGTGTGGGGAGAAGCCTGCCTGTTTCTATTGCAGGATGATCTCTTTGGAACGCCACTCATGTTAGAAATCTTGGGTTCCAGTGCCCACAGATAATATTTGGGTTTTGTTTGCTTCCTTCCTTCTGTTCCATGTCATGAGCTGGGATTTAGATGAACTGGAGCTGGAAAATTCCCTTGCTACAGGGAAAGGAGATGATGACTCAAGACTCTGACGAGTGCTTCTTATTCACTAACAGGTCTATGATATTGCATTTAGCCGGGCTGGAGGTGGCCGGGACATGTTTGCCTCTGTGGGCGCTGACGGCTCTGTGCGGATGTTTGACCTCCGCCATCTGGAACACAGCACCATCATCTATGAGGACCCACAGCATCACCCGCTGCTGCGTCTCTGCTGGAATAAGCAAGACCCTAACTACCTGGCTACCATGGCCATGGATGGAATGGAGGTGAGCCTCCCCCTTCAGGCTAACACAGGCCCTGCTTGGTATATCTGGAGCACCAGTTCTCAACGGGGGACAGTTCTGCAATGTGTGAGCCATTTTTGGTTCTCAGAGTTGATGAGAAGCTATTAGCATCTAGTGAGTAGAGGCCAGGAATGCTGCTAAACATCCTACAATGCTCAGGACAGCCCTCTGCAACAAAAACGATCCCGGCCAAAGTGTCAGTAGTGCCAAAGTTGAGAAAGCCTGACCCAGAACAAGGACTATGTGTTAAGAACCTGCAGTACTTGGAGAGTGGGACTTGGAACCAGGCAAAGCTGTAGGTAGAGTGACTCAAATCATATTTGCTCATGGCTCTGAGTAGAGGACAGGCAGTTTCCCCTTCTGTAGCCTGGATAGATTCTTTCAGCATTAGCAAACAGAAGTGGCAACTCTGTCTGCAGCCATCACTTGAGAAAAGTGGTGAATTGTGGAGGGAGATGGAGCGATTAACTTGGTTTTGGTGAAGCCAGCACTTCGGACTTTTATACAGCATGTTCTGCTTTTGGGGTCAGGGTTTTCATTCTGCCCAGCTAAGCATGCCCAGAGTTCTTATCCCATGTACCTAATAGGACTTGGACAATAACACACAGCGTAACATCTTTGCTCATGTTCACATGTGTGTACCCAACAGGACTTCGATAATAGTATACAATGTGTTATCCAAACTCATGTTATCCACTCCTGCTTCTCCCTTTCTCCCATCTCAGGCTCAAGGCCCAGTGTTGCTTCACATACAGACAGTCAACTGCCTAAGTCCTCTTTGTTTTCTTTTTCTTCAACCCTTTAGCTACTTTTGGGACCAAGATCCCATGTCTCTAATATT